TTATACACACACAGAAATGCCTGAAGCTGAACACCTTTTTTTACCAGGTCACTTACAGGCAAGAAAATACAGGTTTGACCAAGGAACGTCAGAAACTTTCCTGAAATACTTACAGCTAGCTATCTGTTGATCATTATAACAGTGTCAATGTACTTTAAACTTTCATTGGTTCTCTAGAAAGCAAATTAACTTAAACATAAGCTTAAACATTTTTTATCACTTTTTATAGGATTAGCGGTGAATGACTTACAGCTAATGATATTTGTCTGCTATGCACTTGGACAATACAGCTTACAAGGGTGCATTTATTTACAGTATCACCACCCTGACCTTTACCGTCTTAAAGTCACATATAGACACATAAGAAGCACATTCCACTAGTACAAACAGCTAATAAATTTTAAGGTGAAGCACTACAGATGGAATTTGAGATAAAAGTATTTAAGTGAAAACTTTCCAGACAGTATTTTGTAACGGTCTAGGGAAAGTCCATATGAATGTCACAGAGCTATAGCCTATAAGTGAAAGGCCCAGGTGTGAGATATGCACAAGCCCAGCAGATGTAAATTAGCCATTGGATTGTCTCACTCCATTGTGAATGGAAGATAGAAATCACCAGCACTCATAATCCAACGTTTCGGGACCACGCAGGGTCCCTTCATCTGTAGCTTGCGGTATACTGAGCTTATGATGACGGGAGGACGCTAGTTTGTGTCCTCCCATTACCCTTAGGAGAACTATGGGGGAAAGCCCTGACCCCATAGTTCTACTTTAAATTGCAGGTAAACGCACAGTAAAATAAAATATTCTAAAAAGCTTACTTACAGAATTTTTCCTTCTCATAAATAATTATTTACCTACAAAGTGCATGTGAACTTGTTAGAAAATAGAACTACACCAGGGAGAAGGAATGAAGAATGTCTAATTACTCTTTGCGTTGGACTAGCTTCTCAGGTCTCTTTATTCATTGCAGTTATTCCCTGCCCTCAAGGAGCTTACAATCTAAGGTCCCTATCTCACATGTATACATACAGTGCTAATATAGACAGGAGCCAATTAACCTTCCAGCATGTCTTTGGAGTTGAGAGGAAACCGTAATACACAGATGAAACCCACACATGCACAGGGAGAACATGCAAACTCCTTGCAGATAGTGACCTGACTGGGATTCGGACCGGGGACCCCCAGTGCTTCCAAGGCAGAAGTGCTAACCACTACACAATTGTGCCACCCACTTTCAAACTTAACCTAACCCTGAGACCTTTAAAGTGACCCTATTATGCAGCCCTTATGGGGAATTTACACCTCCATCTGGTGAATTGCAGGTATGATGCTTAGTGCATCTATTATTCGGTCCCTGATTATTTTGTTTTTTCCCCAGTTCCCCTTATATACACCTTAAATCAAGCAGTCTTCTGGCCAGTAGCAGGATGTCCCAGGGTCTTATCTTTGTTGTGGTGATGTGTGACCCTCATTCCAGGGAGCAATACTACAGTATTGTACTGTAATCCCCAGATGTTTTGATGACACTGCCCCAGTGAGTGTGTCCATGACAAACTGAGCCTACAGGAAGTGGGTTTAATGACACTGGCCAACATTGAACCAGAATAGGACCGGCTCTGAACCTTGGAATGGTGACTCTACACCAGAGAGAGAATGAGAGTACAGCAGTTGCTTTTTGTATTATGTGAGGCTATTTGTATTTTTTTAAATGTAGAGTTCCACTTTAATAGGGCTGCAGCTAAGGATTATTTACATAAACGATTATTTGCCTGATTATTTTTTCGATTAAATCAATTAGTTGCTTTAAAAAAAAAAATCTCTCTCTCTACTAATTGATAATGAGAATAGTTGATCGGCAAATGACAAATAGCAACTTGCGCCAAACCCTGTGTAGCTGCAAGCACTACAAGAAGTGTCACCCTCTACACTACGTATTATAATTTGATCATGAGAATATTTGCAAATTATTCTCATAATCGATTAGTTGTCCTACACTTTAATGCCCTAAAATCTGACATTAACCCCATCACATCCATACTTACCTAGTCATTAAAAGTATCTGGCCATCATGTGCCTTTCGGCATGATGCTGGCACCAGAAACAACTGTGCTGCCAGCAAAACGGGAACTGTTGGTGCAATCTAAGGATAGGGCTGGCAAACAATAAGGTATCCATAATTCTTTAACTACTTGAAACCCAGGTAATGAAGTGAGAATCTTTGCTGTCATGTACTGCTACCTCTTGTCTGATATCCCCACGACACTAAATGCACACAGATGTTTTGCTGTACAAAGAACAGGCACCATGGAAAAGGAATACTCTATGCCAGGGGTGCCCATTAGGTAGATCGTGATCTACCAGTAGCTCTCAAAGCGAATGCTGGTAGATCACGAAGGGTGTGAATGGTGGCCCCTTTATTCCATTTTGGTATATTTATTTAGCTGTGCACACATGATTACCTATTAGCCCGAGTCTTCTGAGCCAAGCTCCCTGACACCTTTCTGGTGGATTCTGGTGGTTGAAGTGCTATGTATTACATCAAAGAATATTAGTTTACACAGCCTGTTGCACTACACTGTTTGCAAAATACAGCAAGGTGAGCCAAGAGAGGAAAGACAGCCAGGGGAGAGAGCGAGGAGAGACAGCCAGGAAAGAGAGAGAGAGCACGAGGAGAAACAGCCAGGAAAGAGAGCGGGGAGAGACAGCAAGGGGAGAAAGCCAGGAGAGAAAGCCAGGAGAGAAAGCCAGGAGAGAAAGCCAGATCGTTGGTAGATCTCATGTAGATCTCATGTAGCTCATCATTTGAAAAGTACATCTTAACACAAAAAATTGTGGGCACCCCTGCTTTATGCTGTGTCATGCACCAAGCTTACATACAAAAGGGTCTTGTAATCCACAAACTGTTTAAAATGTTAAAAGGAGAACTATGAGGTGAGTGCTTTTCACTCACCTCATAGTTCTAGCCGACCTGTGACAATGAGACTGTCACAGATCGGCTCAATGTATCCATAGTTAGTACAAAAGGAATTCTTGGTCATATCAGAGTATAGTAATAAGAAGTACTACCTGCTTTAAAGCGAGATATGGCTTATGGCAGCTCAGCCGGTGATGATAAACATACAATACAGAATCCAGAGTAGCAGCTTCAATATTCAGTCCTTTGCTCTTTAATAAGGAGTGTGCTGCTTGGCAACTCTCTGTAAGACTGTTGATGTGTTTTTCTAAATAGGAAAACAAAAGAAGAAGATTTCTAGGATTGTTCACTCTGTCCATATACACATGAATTCTTTGAAAACTTGGCATAGGCAATAATAATGTATACAGCAAGCTAGTTCATACACGCACACAAAAACCAACAAATAGCAGTTTCATGAAGAAGTATTGCTATAACATGAAGAAGCTTGTTAGCCCACCCACCCA